CCCCCAACAAAACGGAACAGCCTTGCATAATATCATCTGTGACTCCAAAGCGATGATGGGGTCAAAACCAAAACATGACTGCTATCTGCAGAGAGAGGCCAAGATGATTTAGTGTTGTAGGAATAGGTGTACATTCAGCATGCCCTGCAAAAGAATATGAAACTTTTGCTGATCACAGGCAGAGCAACAGTATGAACCCCAGAGGAAAGAACTACTGTCTGTTGTGTGGGGAGGCAGGTGAATAAAGCAAAACAGTACAAGAAGCTAACAACTGTTTCAAAGTCAACTTCAACACACATTTCATCTACCAAAAAAAATAATAATAATAATAAAAAAAAAGTATGCTTAAAAACTCAGACAGAAAATTGCTTTGGATAAAGAAAGGGTAACAAAGGGTCAGTGTTCGACCTTTTGGCTAATACCTGACTCCTATCACCTTTCGTTAACAAATCCATTATTAATGTAATCCATAATGAAACAGAATGAACAATAAGTTCTGTACAATTTTATTACACTTAAATCGAAATGTAAAAAGTGTATACCATAGACTTGCCTACTGAAAAAGGAAACAAATCCTCACAACTTTTCAAAGGAAAATTGTATAGGTGATCTTTTCAGCTAAAGCCACTACCGCTCCCAACACTTACTGTACTTTTAGAATACACTAGCACATCTAGCATTGACTTTAAACATCCTACATAATTCCAGAACTGAAAAAATAAGGACTTTGACTGTGTAAAATTAAATTCCCTTATAGGTTTACTTGTAGTATAATAAAGTACCTTAACTGATAAATTAATATAATATAGTATCACTTTTTCTCATTGCCTATTGTTAATACTTACTGAAAAGGTTCAAACACAGACCTCAATTCTGCAAATACTGAATCACAACGAGTACATAACCCATTTCACTCTAAATACATTTAAATTATATATGTATTAAGAAAAAAAATACAATTACTTTTATCTAACCATATGTTATATTTTCAAATACTAATGCAAACATGTACAGCAAAAAGACAAGAAGCCAGAACCACTAACTTTTTTTAAATAGACAGTTAATTTTATTTTGATATGCTATTTAAAAGCTGCTGATAATTTATAACTACTTTTATATTCATATAATAAATATATTATCTATATTTACATATGTAAATAGAATGATTTGCCAAATATTGTAATTGCTCTGTTCCACTAACACACAAAGGATAAGATTTGTCTCAATGTGCTTTAAGTCACTGGTATATACTCTTTTATGTGCATCCTTATTGAGGCTATATGCAAACATTCAAGCCCAAATAACACTCCTTGATTGAAGTATTCATATGCCAGATAAATTCCTGGTTTCAGTTCAGATATAAGAGCTTAAAACTTGCTACCTGTCCTTACAGACACAGTAGGCCACAGCATAGCATATGGTCTGTTACATCTACTGAGGTTTTTAATTATTACTTACATGGGCAGAGAGAACAGTTCAAAGCCACTTCCAACTGAGCATCTGCTGCCTCTTACATCCATGACAGAAGATGTGCAATATGCAGGCAAACACAATCCACCCAGACCAAGAGGGGCACATACATCAGCCTCAGCTATAACTAATTGTGCTGCAAGCATTGCAGCCACATAAGGACAGCATTTTTTTCTGTTGCTTAGTGATAAAAGTACCTTCTCAGGTAGAAAATATAATTGGCCTCTTTTATAAAATATAAAGGAGTCCAAAGTCTTTAATGCATCTTACGCATTAAACAAAGAAGCCACCCTGAGATACGCTCTGCAAACAAGCCAAACTGTTAGGAATATCCTGGTATTAAGCAAACACCAAGCCACAGTGACATGTATCAAGCTTTATACCAGCTACACCTGACAATAGAAGCAACTTTTATTTAAGTCCCCTAACCAATTTCTTAAAACAGTCTTTTCCCTGTTTTCTCCCCTCTTCACTTCCCTGCCATCTGTCCCCCACTACATAAGAAGCAACATTCAAGACATGAAGTGCTAGGTGTTTGGAGGGATTGTGACAAGGAACACAAGGAACAAATCTGGTAGCTGCAGGTGCATGGAACTTCCTAAAACACACATTTTGTAGTAGGGAGAAGAGAAGGACAGAATCAGCTTTCTTTTGTTTTTCACTTGAATATAAGAATCCGGGGAAGGAAAGGGCATAGGCGATACAGCGTGTTCAGGTCATTACTGCTGGTAGGCCACTGAGCTGGAGATGCATCATTATGAGGTTATGGGAAGGCATGTGTGTTTGTGGGGTAGCAAACAGGAGTCAGCCACTACTGCAGAAAAAAAGAGAGCACTGAAACTGAAATGCTTGGAAGATACTGCCACAGAAATTTAATCTTGATGCAGTTTTTAACGGATAACAAAGGAACCCTTTTCAAATAGCACAGAAAAAGCCATGTCTATTCATTAACTGAATGAAAGGTGCTAAAACGGTACAACAAAGGATTTGGTATACATCCTTGTGTTATCAGTATATGCAAACATTCAATTATGTAGAGACACAGCAGCACATGAACACAGCAAATTAGATCTTCCATAGCTTCAAAGCAAAAATAAGTATATAATTTATGTATATTCCCATATATTGGCATAATAAACAGAAACCTCAAGAGAAAAGCATGAACTGCCACTCTTTTTAAAAGTTCAGCTTTTAATTGAATCTCAAAATCAGCAGTAAAGTTGTAGAAAATAATGCAACATAAGCAGTTTTTATTCTAATACAACAGTTGAGAAGGAAACCCCTGGCCTTAAAATATCTTTTGCCAATTTTTAAGTTAGTTGAATAGTTGTGCATTTATTTAAAGGAAAATTAATCAACAGGTAATTTCTTAATAATATAACATCATAGCCCAGAAAAATTATGTTTGTCCTGAGCATCTCTTAATCTGAGATTAAGAAATTTGAACCTGTTAATTTGAAAGCTTTCTAAACATAAGGGTTTTCTTATGTTCTTAATTTGAAAGATTTCTCACTTTGCCTTTTTTTTCAACAAACTTCGTCTAGTGGATTATGAAAACACACAGATTTAACAGTGCCCGCTTTTGCAAAACTTATACACGTTTAAAAGCCTGCTATCCATGACAAAGGTTCCCCAAAGCATGATGTAGTGGAACATATAAGGCAGATTTCATTTTGGTAAGTAATATTTGGAAACATAAAGTGGACAAGGACAAAGAAACAAACACTAGAAGCAAATGCATTCTTTTCTTCCTAATCAATATCTTGTTAGACTGGTGGTTTTGACTCATTAATCTTTTGGTACGACAAAAAATGAAACAGATTGACCATTACAGCAAAAAATAAAACTGCAAATTAAACTCATTCTAATGAAATTGCCTGCAAAGAGCGCTGCTTCATCAAGCACAACTTCCCTCAAAAGAGTTTGGACTGTGGAGTACCCATTTCTTTGAGGCAGTGTATTTAGAGGTAAATTCTGAAACCAGAACACTTGAAATATAACTTTCTAAACTCTTACCCTTAAATTTTTATTCAGCATATATTTTTAAAGACAGGCAAGTTCTATCAAAAAAAAAAAAAAGTAAAAAAGTAAAAACCAAAAAAGTTAAAAAAAAAAGGTATTGTATTTTGTGTTTAACAGCTTCAAACAAATCTGAAATTGAACTTCATATGATTGCTGTGCTGCACCTAAATTATCACTCTAACAGAGATGCAATGGGATATGCAAAAATCTTAAAAAATAAAATGCCTGGAGGTTTTCAGTGAATTGTTTTTCATTTCTTCAGCAACTGCTGCATAGTGATTGACCTAGTACAGTAGTACAGCATGGGAAATTAGCAATTAAAGGCTTCCATGTATCCAGCATTATATCCTACAAATCCTGTTAACCACAGGAGCAAAATTAGAAGAATAAGAGGAATCAACAAAAGTAAAAACTAAGCTGTGTGGAATTTGTCCTTCACTGAAAAACATGAAAACTCTGAATCCACAGATTGTATACACAAGAGTATTTAATGCAGGATTATAACTCAATTAGGACAACTATTTCTCTGATCCTGTAATTCCAAGGCATTTTACAGATGTCTGTGAATCCCAGGCAGTAAAAAAATGCCTTTCTGTTCTGCATAATATAAGCTCACATTCTGCTGAAAGACACATTTACAGGTTTGTTTACAATAATAATCTTCAAAATATTTATCAAAAAATACATTATTGTTCTAAATGACTCTAAAACAAGGTAAACAAAATTAATATGCAGTGTTAAATGTGAACATCATCCATATATGTAAAAGTGACATTAAAAATAAACCCTAACTGATACTGCCATTTCTTTTAGTAATGCTTGGATCCCAGATCATGAGGGAAACAGATTCACAGACCAGTATGAGCAATGCCAACCCCAGAACTAGAGGCAGCATCACAGAAAAGACTGCACACACAAGTTGCACAAGACAGAAAGTTCAGACTCCAGGCTAGGCTGGAGATTTCTGCACTGTGCTTTGCTACCAGAATAAACATACCCTTTCTCCATTCCAATGGAGAGTGCATCTACACTACCATTAGTCACTTGAGACTGTTCTGCTTCAGATTTGTCAAAACTAATTCAGGTTTACTGATATTAGTGACAAATACAGCATTTATCTTGACCAGAAAATGACAAGATTATATAAACTATATATATATATAAACTAGCTTAGCCAGACAAATTAAATTGTTAATCCATTCCTAAACAAAAGGTCACTATTAGTTTAGGGTTAACCAGAACTTCTTAGCTAATCTCTGACCTAATTTTGACCTCTCTTGTTAATTGCAGAAATGTTTTCAGTTAATAAACTAATGAGCAGTGTTTACACACCAATTCAATAGTTTCCTTATTTGCTGTTCATAACTTAAAGACAAAATGTCTTTATCTGGTCAAAGACTAATTAGTACCAATTTGATCCATGCTGCTATCTTGAGTGGAATGGACAGTGAAGACAAACATTAAGCATTTTCATCAGTTTCATGACAGAGGAATATATAAACAATAAGAAAGGAACATCAAAACCTTTATTTCATCCTTTTTTTTTTTCTCTAGATCATAAAACATTAATTCACAAAGTCTGTAAAAAATACCCAATCCTTCTGTCTGTAGCAATTCACATTAGAAAGAAATACATTTTGTATCACAGTTAAAAGAGACGAACTAAAGAACACACATAAATCCAATGGATTTGCAAACATGTTAGTAGGCTGTATCTAAAAATAAACATTTGTCATTGCATCATACTTCTGAATGTGCTGTCTACACCGGGTTTATTTAATCCCCTAACTGTCATAACAATTGTATGTAAGGGTATGGATATGATATATATTGCCTGTCTTATGCATAAAATGTCCCCTTCATTTCTTTCTGAAGAAAAATTGGTTTTGCTAAAAAAAAAAAAAAAAAGTACATGAATTACAATTCCAAAATGATTTCTCCACATCTTTTTTTATTTCTGTTTTTAAATCAGAAGTGTTCAGGTAAATATGTGTGTGTGTATATATATATATATATACATATATATATATATATATATATATATATATACACACATACATGTATATGAGCTTAATTTGAACAGCTAAGACTAAGATACAAACTGAACCTGACTGCATTGTAAAATGTTACAAACAATTACAAAAAGGAATTCTAATAATGGAAGAAATAAAAATCTCAAAGAAATAAAAATCTCAAAGTCAAAAGAACTATACAAATACCATGCCTTATGCTCAGGAGAACTAAATAACATAAGGAATTACTGTTTGAAAACCTATTGTAATTAGATATTGAAATTAAAATAGCAGAAATTCAATATACTTCTAAACAGTGAAACCTTAGCATTAGATTACATTGACATTCTTCTTATTTTCATACTCATAAAAGCTTCTTCAAAGTAAATTTATTCAGTATTATTGAGGATCATACTATTCACCGAAGAGATAATATAACTCTAAATTATGCTCAGAATTTTCTCCATTTCTATAGGAAATGAGAATGATCTATCATCTAAACAAAGGCATCTGGCCTACTGCAAAATGAAAAAGTTTGTCCACTGCTGTTTGTCATACTGGTAGATAAACGCTCGACTATGAAGGGCCTAGAAATTATTTTATTACTGTAGGGGAATTTGTCTGGACTAAATCCAGATTAACATTCATTTGCTAGCTGCAAATAAATCTCACTGTACTGTAGGTACAGTTTGCCTATATTTTTACATTATTCACCAAAAGCTCCATTCTTCTGAGTTTGCGCTTATTCTTTGGCATTGGCTTGTCATACAAGCCATTCTTGAGAAGATGTTCCTTGCTGTGATGGATTTGGGCACCATGCTGAAGCTGGAAAGAGCATAAAGCTTGAAGTGGACGGAGTATAGTCTGCAGAAAGATGGAAGGGTGGGGTAAAGGAGACAAAAAAAGACTTTTAGTAAGGCACCTTGGAGACATCATTTATCAGAGGTTTTGTATTCCAGAACTACTTTAAAATGCTTATAAAATACAACATAGATAGAACATATGGAGCCACAGAAGACACAGCTGAATAAGAGACATGTCAAATCCACATACTGTCATTCCTTACTTCTTCCTCAGACACACTCAATGCCATCTTCAGTACCAGCTACATTACTCTAAGCTATGGTTTTAGCCTGATGTTAGAAATAGACTACAATCATTGGGGCGATTCAGCCAACAGACATTAATAAAATAAGTAACAGTAACTAAACTGTTTGTGATTGGATAACAACAGAGTAACTTGAAGTAGGGTTTTAGAAAGAGGGGAGGGTCATCAAGGTAGCTGGACTGCTAACCTGGACTGCTTCTGCCCAGTGCCAGTCCATGTAGGACTAATGAAGCCACTGATTTAACTCAAGTGGTTACTAACTGTGGGTTCTTCATTTTCTGGTTGCCTGGATAAGTATCACGGGGCCATATGTGCAGATGTATAAAGCAATCATAAGTGTAAGTGCAGTCAGCAGGAGCTGAGTTTCATGTAAAATGTGACTACTTTGAGCGCATAAAAAATCAAGTGACTTACTTTTGGCACCAAATTAGGTGCTCATCTTTAACTTCCATTGCTCTGGACTTCAATTTGCCATCTTATATGTTATAGCACTCACTTAAGTCAAAGAGGTTATAAAAAAGTTCACTAATGTTTATGAAGTGCTTGGCTACTGGCAAACTTGTAGAAGCACCTTTGAGAAACTGCTAATCTTGTCTGTGAAAAGTAGGTTGGGTCAAATTCTGCGTGGCTGAGATAAAGCAAGAATACAAGACCATGAATTGTAGACACTAAGGATATGTCCACCCTTGGCCTGTAAAATACAGGAATCCGAATGAAGGAAAAATATGACAACATTGTCCCAGCAAACTAAAGGAAAAAAGAAATATGCAAAACCTACTTTAATTTCAGTATTTCACATTTTTCCTTGGGCTTAACTTCCATAGCCATGCATTTTGTCCTAGCTTGATTCTAAAAGCAACTGATTGAAAGTTGAGTTGACTCTTTAGTGTCATAGAGGTTGACACAATGATGGTATATTCTACGCCATGTCAATTGTGCAAGCAATTTTTGACCTGTGAGCAATTTTCACTAAACAGAAGTCAGGTATCACAATATTCATTATCTGACGAAGAAGGATATAAACACCTCAGGGTGGACACTAGAATCTAGTGAAAACACGAATGAGCTTTAAATCTCTTTTCATGGATCCTTCTATACCACATTTTGGGCACATAATCAGATTGCAGTATCTGGGTCTATGTTTGGGATTTACTCTTAGGTCTATTGCAAAAGGCTTATTAAATGCTATTATTAATATCAACAATAAAAGATTATAAAAGGACATAATCTCTTTCATCACAGACTAGAGGGATCACAACTTGCAAGGAAAAGGATAATGTCTAATTAGTATTCTTTGACCTGGGATAAACTTAAACTCAAGCACTGTTAAATCCCAAATTCCTTGAATGACACCTAAGAGTTGTGAGCTGACTGGCAGGAAGACATAAGCCAGGGTGTTGCATTCCACGGTGCTGGAGGTCAGTGGGACAGGCTTACAAAAGCACTTTATCTCCAAGCTAGCTGTGAGAGGATATTCAAATCATCTCTGCAGTCTAGCTTTTGCAGAGGAAAACTTACTATTTTCCATGCAGTAAAATACTAAATTATCTGTCTCAAACCAAATTGTTTTCAACAAATTCTATCCAAAGTTATTTTTTAAATTCTCAATAGTTTCCAACTTTTAAATAGAATATTGGAAAAACATAAAATCCAATCATTTTCCAAGAAATACCTCCACCTCACACCCCACCCCCACCACCCCCAAATTAGAAACTTAGAAAAAACACAGGAAAAGATAACTAAAACAGTGCCTCTATGCATCACATGCATCTACAATATACACAATAGTACTTCTGTTTAGGACTAAATCCTAAGCTCTGTCAGAACAGCATATATGTGGTGCCTTATAAATCAACTTTTAAAAATATGTAATGTATGGATGAAGAGAATCTGAGTCACCCTTCTCAATAAATTTCAAATTACAGGAAGAAGTGTGCAAGAAATTAGTATAGGATGGGATAATGTAACAAAGAGAAAGAGCAACCAAAAAGGAGAAAAATAAGAGGGAAAAAAAGGAGATTGAGTAACAAGTACAAGAAAAATGGAACTTAAATCTTGAGAAAAATAAAACTGAAGACTGCACTGCTCAAAAGGGAATTTTGATACAAAGTAACCTCATGACAGCACAGTGAAAATTTGTAAAAGTTGAAGTGCCAGAGAAAGCACTAGACAAAGTAAGAAAAGAAAAAAAAGTAAGAAAAGAAAAAGGAGAGGGGAAAAAAAAAAAAAAAAAAGGAATTGAGGATATGAGTTATTTTTAATAACTACTCCATATACAAAATGGAGCACTACCAAAGGCAAAAGTGGTCAAGTGGTCTGTGAGATAAATTCTGCATTCATCCAAGGTGTATATTCCAGCACCAAATACATTCAGGAGATGATCTGATACTAGTTGGTACTTTTAACATCATCAAGGCAAGAATTTTATTCCTGAATTTTTCCAGAAAAGACAAAAGGTGGTCCAATGCCACCATTTAAAAACTCAAGTATTTAAAATTAGTTACGTACCTCCTGTATACTCTTATTTTTTTCCATAATAGTAAGAGCAACAGCTGCACATTCAAGTGTAGAGAGACAGGTGTTTGTTGGCTGTGTACGAATTACATATTGACTTGAAATGTTGGTTTTTAACTGCACCTGAAAAATAGCAAACTCTACTAAAATAATATCATTGATATAGCAAACAAGATAATTCTTCCCAATATTAAGCAAAACAAAGCCCCTTCTCCTCTGTGGCTAATTGCCTTCTAACCTTTTATGATGCTTTGTCTCCCAGTTAGCAATGATATGCTACTGCTATGTATAATGCTGTATAATCTACAAGTCACCATCAGAGACAAGAACTGCACATTTATTACTGTACAAACATCTAAAGAAAATACAATTGTTAGACAAAGACTCAGTGAAATAGAGGTTGTACAATATAAAATGTTATTCTTATGTGCTTTTCACCAGAAAAAACCCTCAAAACAAAGAAATTTTCACAACCAATTTCAGTTTGCATAGACATCCTATAACAAAAATAAAACTTAACTATTCACACATGCTTGTTTTATTGCACAATCTAAACATACATGAGCCTAGACAGTAACCTATACACACACATCATAGTATATAATAACTCTGAATAGTCATTGACATTTCCACTGGTTAAAAGTTGTCATGTTCTGAATGAAAGACTTTTAGAAACCACATTTAATCATATAATTTTTAGGTAACTTATTAGAAGTCTTTGCTTACCTAAATCATGTTTGAAATTGATTTATTTGCTCTGCCTCAAGTAATAACCACCTTATAAGTTAAAGGTTTTTCAGAAGAAGAAATGTAATTCAACCAATACATTGTCTGTTTTATCAGCACAAAAGCTTTTATTGCCTTTCTACACAGCTGTTTAAACATCACAGAATTTACATAATTAGACTTCATGAGAAAATTCAGATATTATTCTCTATATGAAAATATAAGGAAATAAGTTTAAAATATAATTTACCATACAAGTTAATGTTTTATCAGCATGATTTATTCGTAATAGAACATCGGTTTATTTTAAAAATTTATATAGTATGATGCAACAAACCCTATGGAATTATTATAAACATGCAAGTCAATTCATTTCCTTTTTGAATTTCATCCTAAAACCTATCTTTATATTTCTGTCTTCTCTGGAAAATGAGTGATTTTTGCCTCCTTTACACTGTGATATTTGCCTCCATCCTGCTTGCCAAAGTTTTTTCAGCATTTCTCACTTTATTCACCCTCTTCACTTTTCCCATTTTTGTTTTTATTTTAGTCATTTTCCATCATCTCTTTCACATGCAATTACCCATTCTTAAAAGTTCAAGACACCTCGTATAGAAAAGGGAACCTCTGAGCTGCTGAACAACTTTGAATGAATTAGATCAAATTCTAACTGACCTCAATTTAATGGGAGGGAAAAAAAAAAAAAAAAAAAAAAAAAAAAGCCATTCCAGAAAGGCCAAACAAAAGCTTAATATACTGAAATATAGGAAAAGAGAAAAATGTATCTCAGAGAAAAAAGGTCCTAACTTGTTTATCAAAGGAAAATTTTGGTTTTGATTTTTTCTGGTCTTTTTACTGAATTTGTTTGAAGGACAAAAATGTGGATGTTTCAGAATGTTTTAAAAGTTTCTAGCAAGGACTGTTTAGATAGCTTGGAGAGACCATTTTCAGAGATACATTTATCAACTACTTCCTCCGATTTGTTGCAGTATTGAAAAATCAAATGGGAACAAACATTTAGAAGAGAACATGTAGAAAATGTAGAATTTGGACCTCAGTGTGAAAAATGAAAAGCAAAAGTAAATGAAAATTTGGCAAATTAATATCTTCATTTGTTCCTCAAGGTTTGATTTGTGTTTATATTCCCCTTCTCGGACCATGGAAGGATCATGACAAATCTAGATTATTGCAATTACACGCAGAACTTCAGAAAGCTATTAGAGCCTTCTCAGAACTCCCTAGATTGGTATTAAAAAACAGGGCAAATCCAAACAACACACTGCTGCTCCAAGATGTAGCCTGAGCAGCAGATCAAATGCCTACCCTTATTTACCACAACACCAGACAACCAAAATCTTCACAGAGTACTTCTACAGAGACTGAGAGAAACCACCTCATCAACTAACTAAAGAAGCACTGGCTTCTCCCTCCTTAGGCATGGTCAACAATGCCTTAAGGCTTCTTTTTTTTTCTTTGTAGGAGTTGTCTGGGAAAAGGTCTATCTGGTAGTTTCTATACATTATTGCATATTGCTTATGTTGTAATACTTTTAAGATGATCAGTATTCCAGAAAGAAAATGATTATTTAGGATTGCAAAACAACTTCTATGGAAGAAATGCAGCCTGCACTCTACCTTACACTGTGGAGTCCAAAAGTCTGTAACTACAGATTTCAAACAGCTGACATTGTAGAAAAGGCAAATTTGTACTTCTAATAGCAACAGCAAACAGATTCTTTGTTCTTTTTGGGGGTAAGAATGAGAGGATGGAAACTATTCATTTTCCTAATCCATTTTCCTGAAAAATGACAAATTCACGGTGGTGAGATGAAAATAGCACAGACAGACAGCACAGTGGTGGAAACTGAAGGAAGAATGTATTTCCAGGACAACTCCCTCCTAAAGTTAATTTCTTCAGCTTCTTTCAACAAACATTCATTTTACCTTCTCTTAACTCCAAAGAAGCATGGTATCTAACTAAGAGATCCTTAGTCAAAGAAACGTCATCTGAAATATGCTATATTTCAGCTTTATTATTCATCTCAAATTGGATGCATTAACTGAATGACTGTCTATCTCAAAGTAGGTACACACACTGAATGAATAAAACACACAAAGGAGGTTTATTCTTTACCAGCTTTGAGAATAAACTGATTGGTAAGACAAAGCCAGGCATCAGAATGAATGAATCAATACATATTTCATATGAGAAGAATATTTTCTTAAAGAAAAAATGCCTAAATACATAAAACATTTTCTCTTCTTGAATGTGGTTGGGAAGGAGGATGATGTTACCACTTTCAGCCAGTCTGAAACTTCCTTGGAGTTCAATTAATAGTCTTCCCCAAGGGAATAAAACTTCCCTCGGAGTTCAGTTAACAGTATCCAATGCCACTTCAGGTAGGGCATTGTAACCATCTCATCAAAAATTCTCCACTGTCCAGACAGATTAATCCTTTGGCTGTTACCTATGTATCTCAAATCAGCAAGATTACTTCTAAGTTAAAGAAATGTATCTTCACAGTTATTGCAAACAAAACTGGATTATCTGACTCCAGCATTACACGTCAAAATCTCACAATGAGTATAAATAAACACCATTACACCATTTCAAAAAAGAATCATGGTATTTTATAACCATTTCGCTATACAATGTTGAAGATATATTGGTACAATAATTATTTTTTTAGCTAGTCAAAGTAATTTGCAAACTATATGTATACTTTGAATATTTTCAGTTATTAACACACCAACATGAGGTTGAAGAAACAGCAGCCCATTTAATGCCACTTACCAAAATAAATAGCATAAGGCAGAAAATAGAGACTAACTCAATCAATTCAAACTAGAGAGGGGAATTTAGATAAGCTGAATGCAATTACACACTGGAGTTTAGCCAAAACATTGAAATTAGGGTATCTATGCTTTTTGTAAGTGCAAGAGAGTTTGGGGACTTAATTTTCAAGCCATGAGAAGCATAAAACAACACATACAGTAGAGTTTTATACGTGTAACTTAAGACCCAGGCTTTCCAGAAACCCACATGTCAGCAGTTCTTTCACACTGTTACACTAATTTAATAAACACAGGCTTCTCTGCCAACATACTCTTAGCAAATGCTAGAGCCTTTGAGCATTTACAGAGTATTTGAACTCTGTCGTAGAAATAGCGGTCCTTCAGAATTTCTGAGGGCTTAGTTTTTCTTCCCTCTTTGGAGATGTCCCAGGCAAAAAAAAAAAAAACACTGATCCAGTTTAGCTGTTGAGAACTGATAGAAGCAAAAATGTTGCCTTGATACGGTCAAGGCAGCTGTTCGAAATTTTCAAAAATTAAGTCAGTTAAGTCAGGCAATTGATTTCTGCTCTTATTTTAAAAATTAGGACATGAGATCTCACAGGAATTTTTAATTCAGTTCTCTCCTTAATGTCAATTTCTTTATCTTTTCGCCTTTTCTATGCCAGTTTCTTCATCATTATTGTTACTAGATTTAGTCTCCAATGGCTACAGCATAATGCACAGATGTGTTTGGAAAACAGCACATCCCAAAGAACAAAGATAAGCTATAACGTTAGTACACCCATCTCACAGGGCACACTTTCAGCAGTTTTTGGTTTTCTCTGTCATTTTCAGCAATTAGGCTATAGGCATGTCAAAGCAAGTACAGGAACACATGCTACCATGGCTTCAGTGAAAATCCTGGCACTTATTTTAAAGTCCCTCCTCCCTTACTTGTGTGAACAGAAATTCCAAAATCTGGATTTCTGTTTGGGAATTAATTTGCTTAACTCTAAAAGAAGAATGCAAGCAAGTACCATCAGTCATCCCATTTTACACAGACACTGATTACTATTCATACGTGTTGCTATTTTAATAATTACCTTCCAAGAAAAAAAATGAAAGTGGGGAAAAAAAAAGGAAAACAGCAACAACAGAACTCTTTTAAAAGGAACTCAAAAGGCACAGAAAAAGAGAGACTACAAACACTTCCCAACATGTTGCACATCATGCTAGAAACTAGGAAAAAAAAAAAAATAAGGGTACTGAAGAGGAAAAGTATTGTCTGTGTGCTACTTCACAGACAACTTGTAACAGAAAAGGGAGTCAGACATGAGGAAGATCATCTTTCACTCAGTATCTAGTTGGTACTGGTACCTTTTACCTGCAAGCCAATGCAAAATATTGTACATATTAAAGCACAGAAAACTCAAACAGTTAAATAAAGTTACATTCGTGACAGAGAAGATATCTTGAGCAAAGTCAGCCTCAGCACGCCACTGAAATTTAGATCAGGAATATAAATAAGTAATTTTGTTAAAAATCTTGGCTTTAATTTAAAGTGACATCTTAAGAGCACTGTTTCCAAGTACTGCAGGGAATAAATGCCATGAAACTGTCACA